CTGGCCACACTCTTCTTACTGTACCCCAGGATGCCATTGGCCTTCTTGCCACAAGGGCACATTGCTGGCTCATGGTCAACTTGTTGTCCACCAGAACTCCCAGGTCTTTCACCGCAGAGCTGCTTTCCAGCAGGTCGACCCCCAGCCTGTACTGGTGCATGGGGTTATTCCTCCCCAAATGCAGGACCCTACACTTGCCCTTATTGAACCTCATTATGTTCCTCTCTGCCCAGCTCTCCAGCCTGTCCAGGTCTCACTGAATGGCAGTACAGCTTTCTGACATGTCAGCCACTCTTCCCAGTTTAGTATTGTCAGCAAACTTGCTAAGGGCGCACTCTGTCCCTTCATCCAGGTCGTTGATGAATATATCGAACAAGACTGGACCCAGTACTGACCCCCAGGGAGCACCACAAACCACAGGCCTCCAGCTGGACTCAGCGCCACTGATCACAACCCTCTGAGCTCTGTCCTTCAGCCAGTCCTCAATTCACCTCACTGTCAGTACACGCATCTAACGCACACTTCCGAAGGTGACCTATGAGGATGTGATGGGAGACAGTGTCAAAAGCCTTGCTGAAGTTGAAGTAGACCACATCCACTGCTCTCCCCTCATCCACCCAGCCAGTCATGCCATCATAGAACACTATCAGGTTGGTCAGGCATGATTTCCCCTTGGTGAATCCATGCTGCCTACTGATAATCTTCTTTTCCTCCACATGCTTAGAGATAACAGCCAGAACGAGCTGTCCCATCACCTTTCCATGAATGGAGGTGAGGCTGACTGGCCTGTAGTTTACCAGATCCTCCTTCTTGCCCTTTTTGAAGATTGGAGTGACACTGGCTTTCCTCCAGTCCTCAGGCACCTCTCCTGTCCTCCATGACCTGTCAAAGGTGATGGAGAGCAGCTTAGCAATAACATTTGCCAGCTCCCTCTATGCTCGTGGGTGCATCCCATCAGGGCCCATGGATTTGTGAGTGTCCAGTCTGGCTGAGAGATCTCTGACCCAATCCTTCTTGACCAAGGGGCAGTCTTTCTTCCATCAGACTTCCTCCCGTCAGACTTCCTCTCCTACCTTCAGGATCTGGGATTCCTGAGGACCAGCCTTAGCAGTAAAGACTGAGGCAAAGAAGGTAAATAAAACAATTTACAGAAATCTTAGATTGCCGTAGATGCTGTGCTCTCAAGTACAACTTTGAAAGACACAGGAGCAATTCAAAGTTCAAGAAATATTTACCTGAAATAACATGGTAACTAAAAGCACTGTGTTTTGACAGACTGGCCCATAACATCACTGTCATAGCAAAATAACATCACATCAAATGTACTTGAAACAGATAGAACTGAGAGAGCAATGATAGAACAAGTTATAAAAGACCTCAAAAACTCTGGTGGTTGGATGTGCTTTGAAATTAAAGATCCAAAAACCGCAGCAAGTAGTGAAGCTACACGAGTGTACTAATGGAAACATGTTAACTATTCCCAACAGAAAATGGACAAATACTTTTTTAGATAAATCTGCAACTGTTATTAATCTGTATATTATTTGCAAATGTTTTATTCTGGTTTCTTCTTTTGTCTGGCAGTAGTAGTTGGTTTTGTGTATATTGTTTTTTTTTCTTTTCCTGTCATGTCTGAGGTTTTTCACCATCTAGCTTAGAGTGAAAATTCTGTAAATAAAGTTAAATTAGAAAATAACCCTTTAATGTGGGTCATGCTTCTGTGTAAATGATCGTTTTAACTACTTTTTATTAAAATGTTACTTCAGTTTTCAGTTACTTGTAGAAATGCAGATTCTAATTCCTCTTTTCTTTTTGTACTGAATTGCTATCAGTGTTACTCTATTTGCAGCTAGGCTCAAACTGACAGCAAGGTTCATTAGCAGAACAGGTCAGGTGTGTAACAGATAATGTTGAGGGGAATCTGTTTTTCATTTCAGGACTTGTTTTGTTCATAACATAACTTCCCTGTAAATGATTGTTGAGGGGAAAAATAATTACATGTATGCTTCATTGTATAATGTTCTGTTCAAAGGACATCTTTAATAATACAGTAAAACTTACATTCTCCATCTTCTAAGTGGGCTGCACTCACAAATTAGCATCTATAGTTTTGTGGAAAGGAGCCCATTTTATGTGTTTGACTTTTGGCATTACTTGATTATCATATGTCAGGATTTTTACTTTCCTGTTAAATTTGCATTGAAAATTAATTCATTGTCCTCAATTTCCCTGAATGTTTTGGCACTATGTTCTCTTTTTTTCCTTTTTTCTTATGACTCTGATAACTATGATGCCAGGTATGCTTTTCGTGTTGAAATGACACTTAATGCTAGAAAGAACAGGATTTGAAGAACACTTTGAAGGAGGAAGGGGAGGTGCTACTACTTCACTGAGATCATACAAGTCTTTTTTGAAAGGCTGTATTTTTTATTTTCTATATTTAATACCATGACACTTGTCTTCTGTTCCTGCTTAAATAAGTATGCCATGGGCTACAGAGCTACATCAACTGGTACTGCTTCGTTCTTAAAATTCAGTTCATTTAAAAAAAAAAATGTAGATGATAAAAATATTATTTTTGTTCTTAATGGCTGGAAAAGGCTTCAGTCAGGTTTCCATGTTGAATTATCTGATTTGAGGAGAAGGGAAAACTGTATAACTTGCACAGACATTGATTGACCGTTATGGACCTTCCTTTTAAATTTAAAGAATAAATACGTTCAATTTTCCTTTTTGCTTTCAGGGACATCATCCTACTCTCATCAAGGTTATGGCTGTGAATCAAAGCTGTATAGCCTTGACCATGGCCATGAGAAACCTCAAGACAAGAAAAAGAAAACCTCTGGCCTCGCCACCCTCAAGAAGAAATTCATTAAACGTCGGAAATCTAGCCGATCTGCTGATCATGCCAAGCAGATGCGCGAACTCCTCTCAGGCTGGGATGTCAGAGATGTTAATGCATTAGTAGAAGAATACGAAGGGACGTCAGCCTTAAAGGAACTTTATCTACAAGCTAATTTGGCACGACCAGAAGCCAGGACGCTACAAAAAGACATGGCTGAACTTTATCAGTACAAATACTGTACTGATGTAGACTTAATATTTCAAGAAACTTGTTTTCCTGTGCATCGTGCGATTTTGGCGGCAAGATGTCCATTTTTTAAGACACTGCTTTCTTCCTCACCTGAGTATGGGGCAGAAATAATAATGGATATTAACACAGCTGGCATAGATATGCCTATGTTTTCTGCTTTGTTACACTACCTTTATACAGGAGAGTTTGGAATGGAGGATTCAAGATTCCAAAATGTTGATATCCTTGTGCAGCTTAGTGAAGAATTTGGAACACCAAATTCCTTAGATGTTGACATGCGTGCACTGTTTGATTACATGTGCTACTACGATGTGGTTCTTAGCTTTTCATCCAACTCTGACTTAGTTGAAACTTTTGGTGGAAGTCAGAACTGTCTAGATGAAGAGCTCAGAGCTCACAAAGCTATTATTTCATCACGATCTCCATTTTTTCGTCACTTGCTGCAGAGGAGGATACGAACTGGCGAGGAAATCACAGACCGAACTCTACGAACTCCAACTAGAATTATATTGGATGAATCTATCATACCAAAAAAATATGCTAAGGTCATTTTGAACTGTATGTATACAGATGTGGTGGACCTCTCTGTTTTGCACTCCAGCCCTTCAGTGGGCAGTTTAAGTGAAGTTCAGGCTCTTGTAGCAGGAAAACTAAACATGACTAGGGCTGAAGAAGCTATGGAGCTTTATCACATAGCACTGTTCTTGGAGTTTAACATGCTTGCACAAGGTATGTAATGCTGTCATTGCTGTAAAATGTATGACCTTTCTAGAACAACTTTTTAGCTATTTTGCAGTGTAAGTATGCCATTGAGTCTTGCTATCAGTGACAATTCCTTTAAGAAAAGGAATTAATTTTCCATCTGTAAGTTGTAGATAGTGCGTCTGTGTTTTCTAGGGACAGAAGAAATGCCATGTGAGCGCTCTTAGCTGTACTGCACGTCATTATTGAAGTATGCTATTTATGTCAAATATGGGTAACTGGTCTTGATGTTTCTGATCTTTATCTACTTCCATCTATAATCCATTTTTTGTGAGTAAATGATGGGGAGGATACAAGAGATCCTTGTTGAGAGGAGGAAATATTTAGACTGGTTATGAAGTGTCCGTGTATGTTAACAAGGCTGTAAACTTGAATGATTATTTTTGTAGTTTCTGTCAAAGGGTGTACACCAAGCCTGCAGTCTTGCTGTTGGAAGATAAATTTAGACTACTGCACTAGTCCTAGGTCCTTAGATCTATTTCTTGATGTGGGAACTGAAGGCAGGCCCAGTCAGTACTTTCAGATTTAAAGTTCAGAAAGTTTCACTTCTGTCCATTATTCTTGGAGATCACTCAAATCTTTAACATAGTTACTGCGTATGGAGGCTGGCCAGGATTATTGCAGTCTCTGGCAAGGTGTCAGAGCACTGCCCGGTGAACGAATAATGCCTCTTGTGGTGGCAGGAGCTTTGCTTGCTCTTTCGACTGTTGGCTGTTTGAACTATCTAGTGACTGATCATACACGATGGAATATGGCAATTGCTTCAGGCCTTGCTGGTGGGGGATGAAAATACTACTTTTGAGCTGACAAATGAAGAATAGAATTCACTGTGATACCAGCAATGTGATTTGTTTAAGCTAGGTTAGTTTTTCTAAGAAAATAATTTTTTGCAGTAGATCTGTACATCCGTAACTTCTAACTGTCAAATGAAATTTGACAAGATTGAACTCTTTATAATATAAACTGTCAAGTAGACTTCAGTAAAATAAGAAACTTCTTGAGTGGGCAGGAAAAAGCAGGTATAAGCACTGCAGGGAGAGATCGTACTTGCAGTGGATTCTCTTAATAGTTAAGTCAAACAGTGATAAAGATGTGGGAAACTAATCAAAACTACTGTATCTTCTGTAGAGGCTGGTATTAGGACACTAATTTTCAGATAACGCTGTAAGTAGAAATAATTCTGCTGCAATAAAACTGGCAGAAAAATAAAGGAGATGAGTTTTCTGAGATATGCTGCTACAGGAATGTGAATAAGATGTTCTTAGACTCAGAATCATTGAATCATAGGGCAGCCCAGGTTGAAAGGGGCCTCGAAAGATCATCTGACCAACCTTTTGTGGGAAATGGAGCCTAAATGAGGTTATCTAGCACCCTGTCCAGTCACACCTTGAAAACCTCTATGGGATTATACCGTGTCCCTGGGGACATTGTTCCAGTGAATGATTGTTCTCGCTGAAAAAAAAAAAAAGTCTTATGTTGAGATGAGATGTCTCCTGGTGCAACATGTGTGTGTTGCCCCCTTTTCTCTCTGTGTGGCTCCTTGTGAAGAGACCCTCTGTCCTCTTTGTAGATACCCTTTAGGTACTAGAATACTGTGATGAAGTCCCCCTGAGCCTTCTCTTCTCCAGGGAGAAAAGGCCTAACTCCTTCAGCCTTTCCTTGTAGGCTAAGTTCTCAAGTCCTTTGATCATCTTTGGTGCTCCTTTGGACCCTCTCTGGTCTGTCTGCATCTTTCTTGGTTTTGTTGTTGTTCCCCTCTAAGTATACCTAGAATCTTAATGTTGAATTTAATGTAGGAGTGGCAAAGTTTTACTGTAGTTGAACTACGGTGTTAAATTAATTCCTATACAATATTCACAAGTTAATAGTACTTGAGAACAGGACAACTCTGTAGATCAGCTAAAAGCAAGAAAGGAAAATTAGTTGAAATTAAAAAGGTGATAGAAGTATAGTTTCTCAGTTTTGGTGCATGCACATACACACGTGCTAAAAGGATTTAGTTGCTCAGGCAATACTAATGAGGGAATTAGTGTGAATGAAGCCCTCAGGAAGACACTAAGTAATTATGCCGTGTTTCATAAATGAACAGGGTGTAATTCTTTCCCTCAGACTGGAAACCTAAACTGGAACAACTGTGATCTGGAGGTGCTCTGATGAAGCAGTATAAGTTATATCAAAGCAGATAAGCAATGATAGATAGAGGACTTCAAAGAGAAACTTAGGCAGACTTATAGGAAAAAGGCTTTTATTTTGTAGGTTTTAGTAAATGCTGAAAAACAGAACTGCTGTTTTATTTGATGCTGAGTTTCATTATTTCTGCTTGCTTTAAGTTGAGTGTGATTGGATCAGCATGTCCTGAACAGGCACTCTTTTCAGTAAGGCACTACAGACTGGTCCTGCTCTGGAATGTATGTTCTGTGAGTCAGCAGTAACAATATCTTAACTTCCCATGGAGTTTTTGCCCCAACACTAGGAGGAGGAAAAAGAGAGGCAGCAGCAGGAGCTGCACTGGACTTGTAGCACCTCAGCAGCATGCTCGGGTGGCTGGAACCATAGAGTGCAGCAGTGCGGGCTCAGTCTTTGTGGCCCTCTGGATGAACTACAGCTGTAGCATTTTGGGGGTGGTTACTGGGAGAAGGTAGAGGGATGCAGTGGCTTTCAGAGGTCTTGTCTTTCTCTGGTAGATATGTGTCTGACCAAAAAAGTGGTGGGTTGTGGGGTGGGGAGGTTGTTATACATAGGGGAGAAATGCAGTAAAATATAGCAAGGGTTGAAATTTGTTATTTTATCTGATACTAGCAAATGTAAATTTGGCACCCCTTCAGATACTGAAATTCTATATGTTAACTTGAACTAATTAGGATTTTACAAATTGGTGCTGTGTTCCCTAGCTAGCAGAGAAAGCAGTAAGCAGTCTGTAGAAAGTCTCTATGTGCCAGTGAAGTCAGTATGTAACAGTTTGATACTTAATTTGCTGAGTTCATGTTGAGGTCATTGGTGCTGTGCTGACACTGAAGAATTGTTCTGATATAATCTTATAACCAAAATTAAAAGGACGCTTATTTGATCAGGAAGACTATATTCCTGTACTTGACTAACGGCTTAACAAAGTATGCGATTTAATAGTGACTTTTTTGTAATACTTATGAGGTAGATGAGAGATCTTTGTTTTGGTGGTGTGCCTTCCATTCCCTGATTTCATAGCTAGCATAATTCTGTGCTGGAAGCTGTCACTCAAACATCTGACTTCTAAATGTTATGCAGAGCGATGCTAGAAGGGACAGCATTCTGTAGGGGCTGGAGACCACTGAGCAGGCAGTTCTCATGAAATCTCTTAGCTTGGTGCTCTGATAGCAGTTTACTCTGTGCTGCAGGAGTCCAGTTTTGTCCAAGTTCTGACTGATCCCATCAGTTGGCTTTTGCAGTAGCTGATGTCTGAAGTTTCTTATCTAGATTCCCACACCCCCTGGCTCAAGTTTTTTGATTCAGTTCACTTACGCTAACCAATTGCAAACTTGCTAAACCTTGTCTCCCTGGTTTTCTGGAAAATATTTTGGGCTCATTATATGTAAGTCTGGATACTCTTTCCAACTTATTTTGCTCACTTCTACTCAGTTTTGGCTGGATATGTGTAACTGACTGTCAAGTGAAGTTGGTGTATTTTAAAGCTTCTGATCAACTGGTTTTATTTTAAACAGATTTTAGTTTGATTTGTCTTCAGGGACCTTTCTAAGTATCCAGATGTTGTAATTTTTCTTCAGTTTCAGCAGATGATTCAGCTTTGACTCTTTCCATGGAAATATTCCCATTCCTAACACAGTGATACTCCTTTTTCTGACTGTTGTATTTTAATAGATGGTTTCCTTATGATGTGACAGTATGGGTACGTGCTATGTATCTTTACTGTCCAAGTAAAGCAAGACTACTTTATTTAAAATTTACTCTGCCTTCAGCTTTATTTGTTTCAGCTGATGACTGTCACTTACCTTCCAAGAGAAACTGAGTTGGATGTTTGAATGAACTAATTTATTTAAATTAACGAATTGGCAAGCATATCTCATCTATAGAGCTGATCACACTGAAACCCATTTGTACCTAATAGGACTCAAACTGCCATTAGGGGTGCTGCAGTATTTGATAACTATCAAAAAGTGAAGCTTGTCACTGCTTTTACAGAGGATGTGAGGATTAGAGCCCTCTCCAGGAGGTTCAAGCACATCCCTCAGTGGAACATTTCTGTGCTCTGCCTGCTCATTTCTGCACTCTGCTCCTGCTTTTGTGTCTAGTTGTTACCTTGCTGCTCTCTGTCAGCTGTACTGGTGCGACCATTTTAATGCATTGACTCTCAAAGATCAGGTTTAAAATCACTTATCCCTTCCTCTTCCGTAGCACAGTTATTAAAATCAGATCAGTTCCCTAGTGCTGTTCATCACATGTTAAAATAATTGCCCCTTCCAGTCTTACTGTGCTGACGCTGCTGCTGCTATTGCAGAGAAGTTTGACTTCCCATATCTTAATTTTATTAGATACCTATATTAAATACATTAATGCTTTTCTGTATCTTGGCCCTGTTGCTTACTGCCATGAATAGACTCACTGAGGTGGTGGTACAGTATGTTTTTCTATTAAAAGTTTTTGGATACTGGGACCCTATGAAATTGTCTTTCCTGGAATTTTTTCTGTCTGCTCATTCCAAAAAGTTTTATAAAGTAGACTTGACAAAAAATAACTTAAGTTCAGACTTCTTACTTTCCTTTTATTTTTAGGTGTTGACTTTACCCTTGACAAGAGTAAGAACTAAGAAACTTTATTTTAAAGCCATATTCAGCAGCACAGCCTTTGATCTAGAGGCAGATATCGCCTGACATCAAAAGTACCCTTGATCTCAGCAGGACTGAAATACTGAAATGCCAGGAAGCCCACAGTAGCAGTATTAAATACACACAAATGTATTGTGGGAAGATTAG